CAATTTCAAGATATTGTACATTCTTAGAAGGCAACCCAATGACTTGAAGAAATAAAAAATAAAATATGATGGCTCTATGGAAAAGAAGTCTAATTTATCACTAAGAATTTGTGAATTATTATGACTGAAAATTATCCTGAATGTTAAATGTTGAATGGAATTATCTATAAGGCTCTCTTATGACATGAACCTATGATGCACCGACACTTCTCCTCAAAGAGGCGTGCAGTGTCCGACACGACACTCGTCCGACATGTGTGGACCGAAAAGTGGTCCAATTAAAAAATATTAAAAACAAATTGGGACACGTATACGACACGCCGATTTAAATATTTTATAATTAAAAACAAAAAATAATAATTTCTTCATTTGGGAGATTCGAAACTATTTTCTTGTTTCCTATCCACACACAAATCAACGTCTGCATTTAAAATTACATTCATCAAATATTCTCATTTTCATTTCTCCTTGCAATGAAGGTATTTTCATCTCTCTCTGGTGATGGTAACGAATCGATTATCTGACTCTCGCATATATACTATCATTTTAAGCACAAATTCTAGTTTAAAGGACTATTATTTTTAATTTTTTTTTAAATTATACTTATTTAATTTTATACCTAATTTTAAATAAAAAACTATAATATCGTGTCAAACCGGTTGTTCGTGTCTATATTTTCAAATAATTGACAGGGCTCTGTGTCCGTTGTGTATTCGTTGTCGCAGGTCCATATTGTGCCATCAAGACAAGAATCATTCTCATATGAAAATATATTGAAGTGGATAGACTTTTATAAAGCAGAAAGCTCGATAGTGGTCTAATCTATACTTTGTTCGGTGTCACTTGTGGCCAAAGAATTATTATGAAAAATATTTAAATATTGAAATGCTAGTTTTGAATAACAAATCCATTTTATAATCTATAGACATTAATATTAATTCGATAATTATTATTTTACCTACTTATCAATTTACTGCGTATTATTATTATTATTATATTATTATTATCTTGATTGTTGTTTCATTATAGGAAATTTTCTCCCAAAATATATATAAATTATCAAGAAATATTAATGAATGCCACCAATTCTTTTAATTTTCTAGTCAATTATATGTTAATAGAATTATTTTGGCAATTGATTAACGATTCTTTTTTTTGAATTGAGTGGAGATAAATCCTTAAGAATGAGGTCTTAATTATTTAATGAATTACCAAATTTCTTTTGACTGAGCAAATAAGTTGTTGGTACAAACATAATACCTAAAATAATATTAGTCATGATTCTTTATTCAAATAATTTTTATTTTCACTATTAACACGTGCTTAAATTTGCACATATATATATATACTTATATTTCAACTTTTTGAACCAATTTACCATCCTTCGTTATTCTAATATGAGTACTTGTTTAGCTTCAGGTCATAAGATCTTTCAATTACCGAACTCACGACTCTTTATATCTCTTCTTCTACCATATTTCTGCAGATAAACCCTTCCATTCAAATTATTTTTTATTTTCTCTTGTTGATCATAATATTGAATATATTATCAAAAACATCGGTCTTAAAATGCATGGTATACACAGCTCACCTTGGCCTGTTGGTTGAGAGCTTATGCTTCCAAACTAAGAGGTTTTGGGTTCGAGTCTTTGTGTATGCGTTGTTTGTGTGAGTTTGCCTTAAATGGCCTAAATGTCCAAAAAAAAAATGCATGGTATTTAGATTGTCGGATAATATTTATCCTTCAACAGGGTAGGTTTTAATTAATGATTAACTTCTTTTAATTATGAGTGATATAATATTGTAAAAGCTTAGATTCTATTAACAGACTGACCTTGTAATTTTAGCTATTATGCAAACATTTTATAACAATCGATTTCTATTCAGTGTTCTTGGGGTCTTATTAATTTCTCCATTATATTCTTATAAAAAACATTCCATTTTTTCTAAATGTATGAGTTTTCGACAAGAAAATTCTATGGCAATTAGACCAACAATTTTTTGCTACCATTTTTCAATATGAAGAACTAAGATTTCTTGCAAAATAGGCTAATTCTTTTTGCTGAAACATTCGTAGACATAACTACCTAGGTTTCATAGTAAGTACTACTAGAAGAAGTAATCACTATTGATTTAAAAATTTTAGGTATAATAGTTAATAGTTGTGATGATGAGTAGTCGTTATGCACAGTCAAATAAGGAGCAAATATGAAAATATGTGGGTATGGTATTCGAAGCAATCGGCCTATTATTTGAAAAAAAAAAAGTTTAAGAGCCTTCTAATAGTGAGGCTTAGTAATTTTGTAACTTGTGCTGCTCAATAACACTTGGAACTACTTGTTATTTATTTATTTTTTATAAGAAACTTGCTTCAAGGTTCTGGGGTATGAATCATTGAAAACTTAATGAAAATTTTTTGATGAATAATATTGAGATTTTCAGCGGATTCTTGCTGGAAAATCCGTTGGGTTTCATCTCAATGACCTTTGATGCTGCCCAATCTCCTGTCTCTAACCTAATTACCATAAAAAAACTTATTAGAATTATTTTTTTCTAGTAGATTTTTCGGTGTTAGAAAGCCTTTGCACTGAGTTTTGTTTTGATAGATGTACATCTCCTAGAAACCAGAATTTTTTATTGATTTGTATGATTTTCCAAAGGATTTTTGGCTGGAACCCATTACTTTTCTGTGGTGAACACCTTGAATTGCTCTATATATAGATAAACTAATTTATCTTTATGCTCTACTCTATAGCATATTGACTATGAAAAATTACTAATCTTTCTCATGAGTATTGTTTTCATCTAAAAAAATTACTATGACCACACCTTCCATAAGATTATCAGTTCATCTATCATAGTTTGTAGAGGTACTCATCCATTTTATCCTTTGTATTTTGCGGACTAGGAATAATTAGTATAAAAAATGTGTATAGACTTATGCACATCTTAGGAGAGAGATCGTAAGGTGTAATTGTGCTGGCTGGAATGAGTAGTACGAGGCAAAATGAATATATGACAGTCATCAAGCTTTGTATGTGCGATCAAAGTGTTTCCATTTTGATTTTTTAGGAAACCATTGTGTGTGTGTTTATTATATATATATATATATAATATAACCTATTAAAAGGAACCTCATTTTGTTTACATTGTTTTTTGTTTGTGGGTTGTATCTAGGTGCTTCAAAATTTCTGCATTCAGTCTCGATCATGTCATCTTTATAATATGATATGTATTTATTGAACTGTTGTGTATTAAGATTATTTATCAGGTTAGTCTATTTCAACAATCAAATAAATTGATTGGTTGAAATAATCTTTAGGCATGCTAAATTCTATTTAAATGCTTAGCATTTTTAGGCCCACTAAAATCTATTTTAACTCTTAAATGCTCAATTAATTTTATCTCAAAATAACATTAACTTATCAAATTTGCATATGTTCTATCTTGTTGGATCCTATATAAGCTCTTCATGTCACCGCAGCCAATTAATATCTTAAAAGACATTGTACATGTTTTATTTAACAATTGGATGCAATATGGATGTCAGATGGAACCTATTGCAATAATTCAAAAGTATACCAATATTAGGAATATCTAGTTTCAATATCTTCATAGAGAAAATTAAATATAATGGAAGAAGAAACCATGGAAGAATATTTCTCTAAAATCATTACCATTATCAAAATTAGTCCTATGCCCAACTATTTAGGTTAGGCACTTACAGTTGATGAATCCTTATTTACATTCATTTTTTGTTGAGTGTTGTATGAGGTATTAAACTTATTCTTCACAAATTATTTTGAATTTTTTCTTTCTATTTTATACTAGGTCTACTCATTTTTTTATTTACAATCCTTTAAAATCAAGTTTATCTACTCGACTAATGAATGCATCTTCTACCCCTCATTGTACATGTTGAAATTATCTGAATAATTACAACTACTTATCTTTAATAGGTGTATTTATTTTCCTAATTTAATCATTCCATGATTTAATGTTTCTAATTTTGCCACATATTCATAATATTCTAATTTTCATTACATTTAACTAAGCTATCAATGATTTTTTTAGTATCCAACACTTAAATTTATACAATATAGTTGATTTAATTATAACTTTAGAAAAATTATGTTTAAATCTCTGTAATATTATCTTATTATATAAAATTTTTTATGTAGCCTTCCATTTAAATCATCTATAGATTTAACTGTTGAAGTTATATTCTTGTCTATATCAATGTTCATTTGCATAATATATTCAAGATATCCGAACTTATGACACCCTGGTTTAATTTTATCTTTTAATAATATTCACAAGTAAATATTAGTATATCATACCACAAATTAATATTGTATACTTAGTCATTATTTTACTAATTCTAAATTCTATATCTTCTTAATGGTTTCTTTATTATCATCATCTTTTAAATTATTTATAGGTCTGTCGATGATCAAAACTATATTATAGATGGAATCATACATCAGGGAACCTTTAGTATTTCTATAACTTTAGTATTTTGAAAGACATTTTTTTGGTTGCCTTGGACTCATCTCAAGATATGGTAGGGTAAAATTGCCCAATGTATTATATGCTTTTGATAGGAAATACTTGAGTTCACAAGTAATCCTATCGGATTTACTTGAATTCACAAGCAAACCTAATTAATAATCAGTAAAAAAACAGCGAGAAAATGAAAGAATCGTGGTGGAAGAACAGACAAATGATAGCAAATCTTATAACAATCAAGGAGAAACAAGAACAACGTAAGATACAAGAGATCCTCAATTCGAGAGGAGGATCGTCTCTCCCAAATCTCTAGACAAGATTGTCTAGAGCCCAAGCCTCTAAGAAACCCTAATTTCAATCAATCAAAACATAATCATACCTAATCCTTCTCCCACTTCTTAATACAAAAGTTTTCCTAATATGTTTTCCCTCCCAAGCCCTAAGCCGCCCCTCCTTTCAAATTTCTCCTTGTTTAGAATAGTGGGGCCCGCCCCTTTTGGCGGAAACGTGAGAGGAGGCGGATGAGTTCCGCCTCTTGTAAACCATAGGAGCTGGTCCCCCTTGGGCCGACTGGATCGGTTCACTGTGAACCGATCTAACAATACTGCCATCCCAAATAATCACATTGTCCTCAAGGTGAAAATCAGGAAACTGATGTTTCATCCTCTCGTAAGGCTCCCACATATCCTTGTATTCAAGGAGGTTCTTCCACTTGATCAACACTCCTTTAGTCCCATCTTCTTCCTGGCGAACCCCCATCAGCTCTAAGGGTTCCAGAACCACCTCTAAATCCTCAGTAAGTGTCGCCGATAATTAAGTCGGGGTTGGCCGTATAATCACCAATGGCCTGTCTCAATTGTGATACATGAAAAATCGGATGTATAGTCGTCGTTGATGGTAGTTTCAGTCGATATGCCACCACTCCGATCTTCTCCATCATTTCATAAGGCCCAAAGTATCTCGGAGCCAGCTTCTCATTCCTCCTGTTGGCGACTGTTTTCTGTCTATATGATCGAGGCTACAAGAACATCCTCTCCCCTACTTCAAATTGGATGTTCTTCCTATGCCCATCAATTTGTTTCTTCAGGATTTGTTGAGCTCTCATCATATGTCTCTTCAATTCTTCTAACACTCTATCCCTCTCATCCATGTACTCTTCGACTGAAGAAACTAGAGTGCCGCTACTCTCAAAATGCACCAAGTGGGGAGGATCTCTTCCATACAACACCTTGAATGGGGTCATTTGAGAAGCATAGTGAAAAGAGGTGTTGTACTAATACTCCGCCCATGATAGCCACTTAGCCCAGAGCTTGGGTGTCTCTGATACGAAACATCTCAGGTAAGTCTCCAAGCTCCTGTTGACTACTTCCGTTTTACCATCCGTCTGTGGGTGGTAAGATGTACTCCTCTTCAGAACTGTCCCCTGTAACCTGAACAATTCTCTCAAAAAATGATTGAGGAACACCTTATCTCTATTGGATACTATCGCCTCGGGTACTCCATGTAATCTGACCACCTCTCTGATGAAGGCTGAAGCCACTGTTACTACTGTGTAGGGGTGTTGGAGGGGAATGAAATGTGCATACTTGCTCAACCTGTCCACCATCACTAAAATCACCGTGAAACCTTCTGAACGGGGCAACCCATCGATGAAGTTCATGGAGATATCCTCCCATACTCGTCCTGATAGAGCCAATGGCTGTAGTAGTCCTCCTGGTGATATAGCCAGATATTTGTTCCTTTGACAAATCTCACATATGGCGACCATCTCCTTTACATTTTTATGCATCCCTTTCCAATACATCTCCGCCGCTAGCCTCCTGTATGTCTTCTGGATGCCCGAATGACCCCCCACAACACTTCCGTGAAACTCTTAGAGTAAGTTTGGGATGTGGATTAAGGTCAGGGGCATCACAAATCTGCCATGATATAGCAGTTTGTCTCCCTCCAATGAGTACCCTGGGTGGCTACCCTCTTCTTTCGACAAATATGACCCGATCTTTCCCAAGCTTTCATCTGTAGCACTTTCTTCTCTGATGGCCTCCCAGTCAAGCATCCAAGGAATAGATAGTGCAACTGTCTGTAGCTCCCCCCAACATTTGGATAAGGCATCTGCCGCCTTGTTCTCCACCCCTAGCCTGGCCTGTACTGAATCTAAAATCGTACCCCAGAAACTTGGACAGCCACCTTTGATGTTCTTCTGTCACCATTCGTTGTTCCAGCAGGTATTTCAGGCTCCACTGATCTGTCCTGATAATGAAATGCCTTTCAAGTAAGTTGGGTCGCCACTTCTGGATGGCCAAAACGATGGCCATCAACTCTCTCTCGTAAATTGACTGCATCCTAGCTCTAGCAGTCAATACTTGGCTGAAATAGGCAATGGGCCTCCGACTCTGCATAAGCAATGCACCCAGCCCGTACCTGGATGCATCCGTTTCCATAATAAAGGTCTGAGTGAAATCTGACAAAGCTAGGACCGACACCGTAGTCATTACCTTCTTCAGGATCTCAAATGCTAACGTGGTCGCCTCGCCCCATAAGAACCATTCCTTCTTCAACTGCTCCGTGAGTGGCCATGCTATGGTACTATACCTCTTTACAAACCTTTTGTAGTAACCTGTCAGTCATAGAAATCCCCTCAACTCCTTAAGGTTTTTCGGCACTGGCCACTTGAGCATTGCCTCAATTTTGGACTAATATGCTGCCACCCCTTCTTTTGACATAGCATGGCCAAAGTACTCAACACTGACTTGTGCGAAGCAGCATTTCTTCAAGTTGGCCCTCAGTTTGTGCTCCTGCAGTACCTCTAACATCCTCTTCAAATGCTCCTAGTGCTCCTCTATCCTGCTATAGACCAGGATGTCGTCAAAGAAAACAAGTACAAACCATCTGAAATAAAGTTTGAAAACCTTATTCATAAGGGCTTGGAAAGTAGCAGGAGCCAGGAGCGTTGGTGAGTCCAAAAGGCATCACTAGGAACTCATAGTGTCCCTCATGAGTTCTAAAGGCTGTCTTGGGTACGTTCTCCATCCGGATCTGATCGTAACCTGGTTTCAAGTCTATCTTACTGAAGATCACTGTTTTACTCAATTCATCTAGCAACTCATCAATGACTGGTATAGGAAACTTGTCAGGTACAGTTTCCTTATTGAGTGCTTGGTAGTCCACGCAAAAACGCCAGCTGCCATCCTTCTTTTTCACCAATAGAACCGGGCTAGAGAAGGGACTGATGCTGGGTCTGATGATTTCTGTCTCCAACATCTCTCTAATCAACCTTTCAATTTCATCCTTTTGGAATTGAGGGTAGCGATAAGGTCGTACACTGATGGGTGACACTCCCTCCTTCAACACGATGGCATGCTCCTGCTCCCTCTGAGGTGGCAATCCCTGAGGTGCCTGAAACATCTCTTGGAACTGCTGAATCAACGGCTGAATGGAGAGGGTGTCTCCTCCTCCAATCTCGCTCCCTCGAAATTGTGCAGCTCCACCCAATGCCCTCCGCCCGCCAACTGAATGTCCCTCACCATCGTTTTAAGAGAAACCAAGGATTTGGAGAGCCCCGCATCTCCTGTAATCATCACCTTCCTCCCATCCACCATCAACTCCATCGTGAGTGCACCCCAATTCACTTTAATGTCTCCCAAAGTTTGCAGCCATTTCATCGCCAAGATGACGTCTGTACTCCCAAGCTTTAGCGGAAGAAACTCTTCCCTCATCTTTATCCCCTGGATCGTCAGTTGTACTCTGCAAATCCCCTGACCTTTCTCCACCTTCCTCGTACCCATCATCACCCCGTAACAGTCGGTATTCACCAATCTCACTCCGAGTTGGTCGACGACTTGGGTGAAAATGAAATTGTGAGTAGCCCCACTATCAATCAGCACCACCACCTTCCTGTCCTCTATTTCTCCCTTCACCTTTATGGTGCGATTCATAATGAACTCTACCATTGAGTTCGGGGAAATCTCAGCCAGATCCAAGTGTAGCTTCTCATCCATCTCCTCCTCTATCTCCGCCTCACCTCCCTCCGCTTCCTCGTCACCACAGACGGTGAGAACATGAAGAGTTTGGTCCTTGCACCGATGTCCTGGCGTGTACTTTTCATCGCACCTGAAGCACAACCCTTTAGCCCTCTTCTCCTGCATCTCTTTCTCCGCCAGCCGCTTGAAATTTGCCCCGCTCCCTCCTCTTGTCTTCTCCTTGGTGGCCTCTCAACTCCCTCCTGTTGCAGGACCTTTAGATGCTAGATGAGTGGTCGTCATCCTATAAGTGCCCCCGTTGCCGCTATTCCTGGATCCTCTCTCCAAATTCCTCTGATTTTTCACCAGTTCGGCCAACTTCATGCCCCCCCCCCCCCTAAGTTACCATGCCCCCCCCCCCCAAGTTACGGGGCATCAGAACCTTCACTGTTGCTCAGATCTCCGACTTCAGCCCTTTCATGAAATTTTCCTCCAATACTGTATCTGAGAGTCGCTTCATCCTGCTATCTAGGTGCTCAAACTGCTCCCCGGTAGTCTGCTACCGATCCCTCCTATGTCAGAGAAAATAACTGCTCATAAAATTCTCCTCCCCAATCGGTTTGGAAACGTTGTATTATGTAGTCTTTGAATTCCTTCCAGTTCCTGATAGGCCTCCTCTGATCTCTCAACTGATACCACGACAGGGCCTTTCCTTCCAAGCACAATCCGGCTGCAGTCAGCTTCTCCTCCTCCGTCAGCCCATTGACGGCGAAGTATCGCTCCACCTTGTAAATCCACCCATACACATCTTCTCCTTCAAATATGGGCATCTTCAACTTCCTCACCTTCTTGTCATCCACATTTCCCCTAATTCTTTCATAGTTTCCCCTCTCCAAAGCACTAGGATGTTTTCTGGTCTTACCTTGCTCTGTCATAGACCAAACCCCCTTCGAAATCCCCCCTTCTGCCTTCAAAATCATCACTCGGCGACCATAGTATCCCTCCTGACGTTCTTCATTTCCACCCCCTCTTTCTTCCCTCTGGACAGGCTCTAGATGGGGTCTTCTTCTTTCTCCTTCCATGATTTCCACCTCATCTTCTTCCCAACGAATTTCCGAATTCGTACTTTTTCCTTCCCGTCCTTTTGCCACGAAAGCTGCCATTTGATTTTGAATTTCTAACATCTTTTTCATCATGTCTCGGATATCGGTGACTTGTCCTTCCAAGGAGGAAATCCTTTTCTCCATTGTCATTTTGATTTGATTCATCTCTCTTTCAAGCCTTTCCTCCAGAGCATCCAACTTTTTGGCCGCCATCACAATCTGGAGTTTGTAATATCACAAAATATGGATTTAGAACTCCAAAAACAGCAATCTCCCTTCCTTCCGTACAAAAAATAATTGCCAAAATTAGCCGAAAACAGCCCTCCATTGGCCCCACGACTTGCTTTGATACCAATTTGATAGGAAATACTTGAGTTTGCAAGTAATCCTATCGGATTTACTTGAGTTCGCAAGCAAACCTAATCAATAATCAATAAAAAATAACGAGAAAACGAAAGAATCATGATGGAAGAACAAACAAACGATATCAAATCTTATAACAATCAAAGAGAAACAAGAACAAAGCAAAGATACAAGAGATCCTCAATTCGATAGGAGGATCGTCTCTCCCAAATCTCTAGACAAGATTGTCTAGAGTCCAAGTCTCCAAGAAACCCTAATTTCAATCAATCAAAACATAATCATCCCTAATCCCTCTCCCCCCTTCTTAATACAAAAGTTTTCCTAATATGTTTTC